CCCCGTCCAAGGAGTCCTACCGACTGTGTATAGGATTAAGAAACTGAAAAAGCGGCCAAGGTCCATCAAAAGGGCTGTAGAGCCATAGACAGACAAACAGATAGACAGAATGGCTAGGGCGCCGATTACATTCGCTAGCTCCAACACTGACATCGCTGGTTCGAATCTCACATGAGGCATGTATGTCTCCTTTTATCCCGTGTCTCTGCTGTTCTGTGTTTGCAGGTAGCGGCTTTGCGACTGGCTGATCTCCCGTCCACGGAGTCCTACCGACTGCGTAAAAAGATAAAATACTGAAAAGCGGCCAAGATCCAACAAAGGGCTGCAGAGCCATAGATGGAGATAGAATTGCTAGGGCATTAACTTCTAAACGTAACAATTCCACAGGCCTTAAACACAGGGTGTCCGGATGAAAGGTATCCAAAGTTAAATTATTATATCTCAGAAAGTATTTATTATACACATTAATGGGTTACACCCTTACAAAGAGAAACTATCAAGTTTTTTCTGCGTATATAAATTTCTCAGTTAATTTAATTGTGGGCTCCCTTGGTGACACGACAAATATCCAGGCTTGAAGCATGTTCGGTGTTACAGTAGCTTTCAGGTTTTGAAGCTCGTTGATCTTCACCTGGTAGACAATGTTCTTCACATAACCCCACAAGAAAAAAATCCACTGAGGTTAAATCTGGCGACCTAGGTGGCCAACCGATTGGTCCACCTCTGCCAATTCATAATCCAGCCATCTCTCTGTCCAGGTGATTCCTAACATCGTGGCAAAAATGTGGCGGCGCATGCGCGTAAGCCGGGTATGAAAAAAGAAACTTTCGAGTTTACTTTCCGATGACATAAACCGGTTACGTGTATGACAATTACTTTCCGAGATATATATTTTTTATTTTGTATACTTTTCATCCGGACATTCTATATATGGGAATATGCGATATTCAGCAACATTCTAGGAGAAACCGTCGTGATACAGAAAGAAATGTTTGGACGATTATAATAACTTAAATATTGATCTCAGGCCACGGAATAGATATATACGTAGAAGTACAATAACGCTCTAAGAAAAATAAAATTATCACTAAGAGAATTGCAAAAAAATATCAGAAACAAAGACATTACATAAAATCGCAGCAAATGCAACAGTGACGTCTGGGTGCAGAAAGAATTGAAGCAGAATATACTAGATTTCTACGACCTTTGCTTGCTATTAGAAGACTATATTATTAACGAAATACAGACATCAGGGAAGAATAACATGTATATCTGTTCAGCTGAGGAGTATAAGCCAGCCAGGCTATTGTTGCCTGACGTGGGAACTACTCCATGATGAGCAGTGCGCGCACAGCAAGCAGCTGGCTACTCGGACAAAACGTGCTGTCCTGTCTCCATTTCAGGAAATCAGCCCCTCCCACATGTTACTTTTTGTTTATGTTAGCTATCAGTGATGATTAAACAAGGTCTTGTCAACAGGTTCACCAACAATGAGGCCATCTCCTCGCTTCAGTATGAGTGAACAGGTGACATGAACATGTACCTTCCTACAGACCACACAATTTAATAATTAACAGGGACTAGTGCGTGATGTTTCTTACTAGTTTTACTTTCTTGGGTTCGGGTGAGAGTGAGTCCACTTGGTACGTCGGCCACTAATTGGCCTATTGTACCAGCCCCGGATGATAGAAGATGAGTGTGGAGCGGTCGTTGGAGTTAGAATTGGCAGGAGAAAACCTGTCCCAGTGGCACTTTGTCCACTACAAATCCCACATGACCCGACCTGGGCTCGAAACCGGGCCTCCGCGGTGGAAACCCGGCGACTAACAGCCTGAGCTATGGCACGGCCTGTGTTTCTTATTAGAGAATATACAAGCGCGAAAAGATATACCTAGGCGTAAAGTCCACGTAATGGAAACGCGGCAGAAGGAGAAAAGAACATTACGCAGACTAACTAATTTGGGGCAGAAAATCATTTTTTACAGAGAGCTTCAGTTCTGCAAAGAATATTGGGAGAACAAGGAACTTATTAACTATCTGAAAAGAGCGAATGAAGGGGCACAGAAACGACCGATAAAAGTGATCGGACGGTGCAGGGACTTCGCAAATGAAGGAAAAGTAGGCGAGAATTTAAGACGCCCCGAAAAATTTTAGTGAGAGAAAACATTCGCTGGACGATTTCGAAAAGTGTGTTTTTCGTAGATACTTTCTAGAATATCATGAGCTAAACAAAAAAAAACTACTTCTTATCTTCATAAAAAGCAAAAAGTTTATTTAGGAAGGAAAAACAAAATATCTTCGTAAGCCAGTCAAAGAGACGGAGTTTAGATTCAAGGAAAGTAAAAACAGAAGTCATGATCGAGATATTGGAGTGGCCCACTGAGGAAGGAAGCTAATTAAATTTTAATGACATCGGTAAAATCAATAATATTACGTATCATTGGTGTACCTGATTTTATTGTCTCATTCAACCACTATATGTTTCGATCGCGTGGACAATCGTCAGGTGGTATGTAAATATATGAATAAAATACATTATTACTGAGTCACAAAATTAAGTGGTTCAGTTCTGATAACGAAAAACGATTTAATACATTCCTGGTTTAAGTGATAAAATAAAATTGACAAGGATGATCTGGTCTCTACTGATAGTTTTAATATTTTACATTATTGGTGGATCTAGTCCCTTCTGGACGCTTGTAGCGAAAGACAAGACAGCGGCTTTCTCCATATGAAACATTTGGGAGCTCTGAGGAATATTGAAGAATCCGCAGACGCTAACCATACGTACAGATGGGACATGGGTTCACACCCACTGCAGGGTGGAAAGTCCCTGCAAGACAATTCAGTTGCGAGTGTAATGGCAAACATCAGTGCAATTGTTCCTGCTAGGGAAGAAATGAAATTCATGGGTGGGCAGAATTCAAAATAAAAGACTACAAGCACAGCCAGAACAGCACAAATTATAATAAACAGTGGTTGGAAGAAAAACTTTTTCCCAATATTCCACTTGGTAGATTAGTTTTAAAAGATAACGTGCCATATCACAGGGCGTAAGAAAAGAAACCTTCTACAATTTCATCTCGTGAAGCTGTTATCAAAATGAGGTTCTAATGATACAATATTTGTCACTGATCTGGACTTCACAGAACTGGAACCCCTGGAAGATGCAAGGTTGTACAAACCATAACTAATGTATCCTGCTGACAGAATTCTGCAAGAAAAAATGTCAGTGTGCTGCGACTTCTTCATTCCAGCTAACTAACTAACTAACTAATTAACTAACTAATCTCATGGAGCTGAAACATTCTTGAGAAACCGCCAGTTGTGCAGCTACTGAAGAACTTCCCAACATTCTATGGATCCCGACGGTACATTACCGCGTTCACAAGAGCCATCCACTGGATCCCGAGCCAGATCAATCCAGTCCATCCGACCTCATCCTATCTCTCTAAGATCCATTTTATTATTATCCACCCACCTACGTCATGGTCTTCCTAGTGGTATATTTCCTTCTCGCTTTTTCACCAATATCGTATACGCATTAATCTTATCCTCCATTCGTGCTACATACCCTAACCACCGAAGAGTACAAGTTGTGAAGCTTCTCATTATGGGGTTCATGCCAATGTGACTTAAATCCTATAGAATTAATACGGGGATTATGAAATCAGAAAATTGTAGCTGGATATTTTTTCTACATATAAATACAGATTTGAAAGAAATGATAGTGGAATTTTGGGGGAAATAATGCATGAAAATGGGTGAAATGTTATATACAGGCAGCTGAAATGCTATTTGTGAATGCAGGATAGTACAGCAGCGACGGGGAATGTGAAGCCAGCGGCAGGTAACGGACGCTGCATCTGAAGACGTCAACAGACTCGGCTGACGAAGACCCTGAGCGTTAATCTGCTCACAGTGTCCGAGTTTTATAAAACAAGAGCTACTTTCAGGAACTAAAGCAATACGTTCTTTCCGTTTTCATTGCCTGACTGTAAATGTCTCATACTCTCCACATTTACTTCCTGCAGTCGTCATCAAACGCATATCATCAACAACAGAACAGCGCCTCGCAGGCCAGGGGCACTCAGTCTTGGTTTGGAAATACCAAAATGAATTAGCTACAAGACATACATATAGAAACAAACAAAACACGGGGAAAAGAGCTGTAATATAAAACCTAGTGATGAAAATTCTTGGACGACCGAAGAAAAGATAAGACACATACTGGTCATCTTCCGACTCTGACCAGAAACAGAGAGTTAATTAAGCCTGATAGTGAATTATTGTGATGTGTAGACAACTAACGTGTTACTAAGTGGTTACATACGGATTATAACAATACTGTCAACATGCCGCAGTGTTTACTTATGAGGAAGCAACGGGAAAGAATTTTTTTGGACTAGAACCAATATATGCTAAAGCAAAAGTAAGCATGAAGCATTTTTCCGAATTTTCTTTCCTAAAAATAATATTTACATTTACATTTACCTGCAATCATTATTGGTTTCTGAGATTAGGGGAGTGACGCAGAGACGGGTGGATACTACGAATTATATATGAAGATAATCTTACAACTTAACGATGAATCTGTGTAAAAGTTTCCCACGTAAAAATCTGAAATATTTGACACTTGCTTCATTAAAAATTCAAATGTACGCCCAATCAAGATATTTATACCCTTTCAACTTTAGTCGATGGTCTTATGACACAGAGAAGTCAGGAATGTAGTTACCACAATTTTGGAGAAATCTCCAGGGCACATCTGTCTCCTGCCTTCCAGACAGGCAACAGGCTCCTCCTAAACCTGCTTGCTTGTACGAGTAATTTACATCACAAACACGCTAATGGTGTGTTGTTTAACGTGTGTAATTTACTACAGTTCCTGTACTAAACAGGAAACTTACTCAGACGGAAACAGTTCCCATGTACAATGCACTGCGATGCTCTTATAATGTATCATTTCATTCTAGTTTGAGTCATGTTGCAGACCTTACCTTACACAAGCCACTGACGCACACCCATCGCTCGCTGTTGGCACCGTGGCATGGCGTCCCGTCTACTGCCGTCTTGTTTAGCGTCGCATAAAACCGGAACCCGACTGCCCGGCAGTTCAGTTCGCACTTGTTAGGAGCTGCACACAAAAAGAGCTACAAATAAAACCAAGTCTTAGCAATGAAATGTTCCAAATAGCTGTCAACTATCAGTCCAAGATATCTGTATATTCTAGGGGCGTTCCGTAAATAATGCCCTCCTATTTTTTTGTGTTAATATATAACGTCTGAGATGGATGTTGGTGGTATTGTAGTAAAGGTTCAACCTTCCCGCCGATGTACTGTTAGTTTGTTTGTCGTGCGACAGATAGTGACAGCAGAGCAGTCTACCAAAATGGCGTCTGACATAGAAGTGCATACGAAACAGAGATGTGTTATTGAATTTCTCACTGCCGAACAAATTGTACCCACTGACATCCATCGACACTTGCTAAAGGTGTACGCAGACAATACAGTGGATATCAGCACAGTGAGGCGGTGGGTAGTGCGTTTCAACAGTGGCGAAAGTGAAGTGCACGGGCGTCCCTGCTCAGCTGCCACTCCTCACGATGAACAGCGCCTCATCCAGGGACTGTCAATTCTGAACGCTACAAAACGACGCTGACTAAGCTGAAAGCCCGCATTTCCCGAGTCAGGCCAAAGAAGCAGGCGACCTTTTGCTTGCAACACGATAACGCTAGACCCCATACAAGTTTGGCGACCACCGCGCACATTGCAAAGTTTGGCTGGAGTGTCCTACCACATCCACCTTATAGCCCCGGTTTAGCACCTTCAGACTTCCATCTCTTTGGGCCTAAGAAAGATGGACTACGTGGGCAACATTTTCCAGACAACGATGCTGTTATTGCAGCTGCAAGAAAGTGGCTAGCCTCTGCTGGAGCAGACTTTTACAGGCGCGGCATACAGGCTCTTGTTCATCGTTGGCAAAAGTGCATAACGAATGGTGGTGATTATGTGGAAAAATAACTGTAGGTAGCTGAAACCTTGCTCTGTTTAACTGCATTATTATGCTTTCTGTATCTGTTGTAATTTTCTTTAAAAAATATAGGGGGCATTATATACGGAACGCTGTAATATAAACTTTTCTGTTTCATGTTCCCTACTGCGGACCTAACGGAGTAACCCCGAAGATATTACGACATTTACTCCGTAGTCTTAGCAGTTGGTACGGTAGCCAAGACTGCAGCTCCGATGTACAAGTATTGCAGTAGAACTGTTGGATGCGACTGGAATTCCCTTACGAAATCATTTTTCTTAAATGCATGAGAATACTTTAACTCCATAATTTTAGCACAATCCCTCATTCAAAATTAAAGTGCCCTATACTGTGGTATGAAAAGGAAAGCACTAATATCCCAGGAAAGAAAATATTCCAGTACATGTTAAATGTAAAGTGGCCCGCGGTAGCGTAGTTGGTTGAGGCACTATGCTATAAGCCGGAAGTTTGGGAGTTCGAGTCCCGATGAAGTAATTGAATTTTTCAATTTGCCTAATTATTCGAGCCATACTATGGCCCTGGGGGTCGATTCAGCCTCTAACAGAAATGAGTATTATGAATCTTCCTGGGGGTTAAAGGGCGGCCGGTGCGTAAGGATGACAACCTCACCACCATCTGTGACCCGATTATCTAGAAAATGTGGGAGCCTCAACGTCTCATTATCCAATGTATCTCCACGGCCTACTACAGGGATAGCTTTACCAAGCTTTCAAATCATTTCTGCGCCTGAGTAAGAAGCCACAGGTGCACTGAACTCCACGAATTTCTGGTATCTACACTCCTAGAGGTGAGTCCTCTTGTAATGCATCTCAAGTCGAAGCCAAAAGTTCCGGTCCTACCGATATTCTACATCAACTTGTAGTCAGTAGCCCGAACATGCAAATTTTCGGAACTATAAAAGTGAAAATGTCAAGAATGAAGAGTTGAAAACAGTGGAAATGTGGACCCAGTTGGCAGTGAACGGTAATTTTATGTGATGATGCGCTCCTCTGATTTAACGTCTCTCGAACGTATATTTAAACTAATTTCTAAAGCATCACCATATTTGCAGTCGTACGTTATATATATATATATATATTGTTTTTCCTTGGCACTACAGCGCCAGTGGGCCTAGGCCTACCTCCATGAACTTCTCCGTTCACTTCGGTTTTTCTAGATCTTACACATTCGGTAGGACTCCTTGGGCGGGTGATCAGCTCGTCGCNATTAAAGGTTCTACACATTGCAGAGAAAAAAGGGTTATATTCGTGACCTTGCTAAACAGGCCTATAAACCATTTTCACAAGTGTTCAAGACAACATAATGTATCTTAATTACATAAGAGCCTTGCGACGAGCTGATCACCCGCCCAAGGAGTCCTACCGAATGTGTAAGATCTAGAAAAACCGAAGTGAACGGAAAAGTTCATGGAGGTAAGCCTAGGCCCACTTGGTCTGTAGTGCCAAGGGGAAAAAAATACGTAAGTAATTCATATCATCTGCTACTACCGAAACGTAACATGGCTCAGTGTGTAATTAGGACGTGAATTCTGAAAGCTAGTATTTCCCAGCGCAGTGTTTCAGCTTCTGAAGGTAGGACATATAAAAGCATAATGTTCCCTCTTGCTTCGCATAAGCGCGGAAAGTAGTTCTTCACATTCTCTCTGGAAATCCGTGGGCAAATGCAGTACTATGCGTGAAGTACATGCAGCCCGATACACGTCAACAAGCTGGGTGCACCAATCCAGTGCAGTTCTCCCTGTGAGCATGCAAATAAGTGAGAGCCCTCACAGAAGAAAACAACTTGATACACTGATGCTATTCGACAATACAGAACAACTGATGGAATCTGCCTTCGATATGAGCTGACCGCAAATTGACTACACGGGCTTGGCATGTCTTATGATATCCGCTCATAAATATTTCCCCCCGATATGATCAGAGTTAACGATGCGTGGGAACACGAAACGACTTCTTCCTTTCGGACAGAATCCTTTAATAGTTTTTCACCCACTCTATAGCAGTGTTGTACGGGATGTCTATTGATTAAGGGGTATCATGTTGCTATAAACCTGCGGTGCAATTTCAATTGGATACAGACTCCACAATTTGGAATGGAGCAGGGTGCATGATATAAAAAATTAAAAGTTGTGCCTGTGTTTGGCTAATTAATTACTACGCCATGAGAGTGTATGGAGGAGTGGATGTATAATCCACGTTTTCTTGAACTCGGCAATAGTTGGAGGTGATTGGTCAGCTTCACGCCCCGGCCGCTTTACCCCCGGGGAAAGAGCCCCCGGTACCAATTGAATAGTAGGTTAGGTGGGCCCCTGAACCGGTCTGGATAACATGGAGAAGAAAAAGATTCTTGACACTACTGGGACTCGAACTCCGACCCCTCGGTCGTCCAGCCCGTAGGTAGTCGCTATAGCGATCAGTCTGTCCAGGTCTCTGTACATACGTAGGCCGAAGTTGTGTGTTGAACATGTTTCAGACTTCTAGTAGAAAGTTTATTAATTCTTCCAAATGTAAATTATTTATGAATATCAAATTTAAGTATACGCCGAAGAAACAGGAGAAAGTTATTTTGACTTCCTGTTACGAGTTGAATGTAGGTGGTTATGAATAAAGCAAACGTAGCGCCGTTAGCGGATGAAGCACATTCGTATGAAATGTGGAGGTCAAACATAAGAACTCGAGAAGGATATGGAAGGATATACAGAATGTCCGGATGAAAGGTATCCAAAATGAAACAATTATATTTCGGAAAATAACTGTTATACACGTATGCAGTTTATGTCATCGCAAACGAAAATTCTGATTTGTTGTTGTTCATGCCCGGCTTACGCGCATGCGCCTCCACGTTTCTGCCACCATGTTAGGAATCACCTGGACAGAGAGATGGCTGGGAGATGAATTTGCAGAGGTGGATCAATCTCTTGGCCCCCAGGTCGCCAAATTTAGCATCACTGGATTATTCCTTGTGAGGTCATGTGAGGAGCATTGTCTGCCAGGTTAAGACCAATGACTTTACACCCGAAAGTTGTGGCTACCGTAACACCAAACATGCTTCAAGCAACGTGGGACGAGGTTGAATACCGTCTGGATATCTGTCGTGCCACCAAGGAAGCCCTCACTGAAATTCGTTGAGAAAGTTACATACTCAGAAGAAAACGTTGATAAGTTCCTCTTATAATTGTGTAACCATTAAATGAGTATAATAAATGTTTTCTGAGATATAATCATTTTATTTTGGATACCATTCAGCCAGACACCCTGTATTTATGACGAGTCTCAGAAACGTAGGTTACAAAGGATGGAAAATGAAGTAAGTGGCTCAGGATTGTGCCCAGTACCGGGCCTTCTTTTTTTTTTATTGCTAGTGGGGTGGGACTAAGTCCCTTGTACTGCGGCCACTTCTGGTCTATTGTACCAGCCCCAGATGATAGGTGAGGGTGATTGTGGAGCAATTGGTGGAATGAAGATTGGCAGGGGAAACCAAAGTACTCGGAGAAAATCTGCCCCAGCGTCACTTTGTCCACCACAAATCCCACTTGACCAGACCCAGGATCGAACCCGGGCCGCCGCAGTGGGAAGCCAGCGACTAAACGCTTGAGTAATTGCGCGGCCCAGTTCCGGGCCTTAGTACAAGCGATGTTGCAGTTCAGAGGCCCACTAGCGGGGAATTAGTCTCACATACTTAACGAAACTTCATTTCATTCATTGCATTATACTGACTCAGCATATATAAATTACCTCAGCGCCTGATACAATGACAATACAATTACCTGGTAATTACTAGCTTATTATACATAAATCTGTTTGTGGCTAATGGAGTCGTACAGCGTCTGCAGAGCAGCTTCCTGTAGTCCCCAATTTCATGCACTGCATTGCACTTACGACACGAGGTTACGGCGAAGGTCACTTGTTCGACTGAAAATGATTAATGGCGGGTTTGATGTATGATTGATGTTGTTGGTGATTTTACGGTATGCAAATTAAAAACACTGCAACGAGTTGAGATAAACGTTTATCATGAAGAAAGACGCGATGTCATTATGCCAAACATGGAGATAATCACGGTGAGGAATCGTTATTGTTTATGCTCAGTAATGTGTTACTAAAGGGACAGGTGACGCCCAGTGAGATGTTAACATGCTGGAAGTCGATAAAATGTTATTTGTGTCTCAACAAACCGTGTGATATTAATTAAGTGCACACTATACTGGAAAGTAACAACCAATCCTGTCACGACTGACGAAAACAATATTCAGTTATAATGAGACGGAAATCAGGAAGGAAGGACACAGCTGCTAATTGGACGCCGCACTGTGCTGCGTTGGCAAGAGAACGTGTTAGGGCCCTTTGTCTGAGAATGCAAGAAACAGAGGACCATGGAAAACTGTGAAAGGACTAAATGAAGAAACAGGAACAAAAATAAAAGAAAAATGAAAATAAAATAAACATGAAATAATGAAATAAAGAAAACAGAAATTCGGATGAAATGAAACAAAGCGAAAAAATAAAGAAAAAAAATAGATAAAAGAGAATGTGAAGCAATAAAATAAAGAAAAATTTAATAAAGAGGGAGTTACGGAAACATTAAAGGAAAAAAAGAATAAAATAAGTCTAAAGTGTGTGTATTTGTGTAATAAAGAATGTAGCTGAATTTGAGCACTAGAAGATGGCGCTGTTTCATAAGCGTACTAAGTGAAAACGTGAGGAAAACTGCATACTCAATTCGTACAGTGCAGATAGTAACAGGCCGACATATCAGATTTAATATTATTTTTCATTTGCAAATTCGCACATCCCACTGGTCTTGATGTGCAGTAACTGGGGATTCAAATGTATTCTTTACAAAGTTAACTGGGAAAGACAAGTGCGGAAATATGACTTTTAAAAGGATTGCAAAAACTTTCCCGCCTGTACATTGTGAAACACGACCATAGAACATTCATCAAACGGCAGGGAAAACCGGAACTGCGGATAAAGATACGCTGCTACGAAACGTACAGAAAATGACATACCACACGATTTGAAAACGCATAATCAAGTTTAAAAGGCGTGGAAATGAACTGAAGGGAAACCAAATTTAAGTTCATTCTTCGAAATCGTCACATAAGGCAAAGGCGAGCAGAGCGAAGACATTTTATCATACATCGGACATCGGACCGCGCCATAGCTCAAGCGGGTAGTCACTGGCTTCCCACCGCGGCGGCCCGGGTTCGATCCCGGGTCTGGTCAAGTAGGATTTGTGGTGGACAAAGTGGCGCTGGGGTAGGTTTTCTCCGAGTACTTCGGTTTCTCCTGCCAATCTTCATTCCACCAATTGCTCCACAATCACCCTCACCTATCATTTGGGGCTGGTACAATAAGCCAGAAGTGGCCGCAGTAAAAGGGACTTAGTCCCACCCCACTAGAAATAAAAAAAAACATATATCGGACATTAAAAATGGATTGCACGTTCCTCAGTTGATTTTCTGAATGGCAAACTTTATGACCGTTGTCCTTCTGGGAGTCGTAATAGAGAATAATATTACAATGACGTTAAAATGCATTTACAGGAATAACTGTGGCACAAAATCATGATTATTAAATGATTCATAAATTTTATTTATATATTATGAAATTTTAAATCACCTAATTCAATTTCAAGGTCACTTAATGTGTTTATGTTAACTATATTGGAGGCTTGTGAATGGTAATTACACGAATTGGCCAAAGCAGGCTCATAAGCAGAGGCCCCGTAAAAAGCGTACTCTCTGGGACTGAGGTGTTTGATATTGTCACGTGTTGGGTGTATAATGCGACAAATAACTTCACACCGTATTGGATATGGCGAATTTATTGAACATTCGCTCTTACTTTTACACAATTTACAATCTCACAACTACTGCCATCAGCAGTATCACAATTATGCCTTCTGCTGTAGTCAGTACCATTCACTCGGTACAACTCAATAACAATGGATTTCAACCCACTCAGGCGAATGTTAGCTGCAACTGACTGGTTACTCTCTCTCTAGTAACCGGCTCAATACTCACTACTCACTATTCTAGTAGCTTCCGCACTGACAACACAGAAAAGAGTTACGAGATAGCTGCCACTGTTGCGTAACGTCGTGTTTACAGGCGTTGCTAGGGAACGCTGCCGAGAATTGTTTATTGCTGTGTAGTAACCGCGGTGTCCTCTGTTACGTCACTGTGGGAAGTGCTGTTATTTCATCGCGGGAGGCGACGGAGTGTTTACCGAGCATTGCGTAATAATGGAAGGGTTGGGAGTATGTGACGTCACTCGCGAGACCGCAGAGTTCACGTGACCCCTACTTCCCGTTGCCCCATCCACGTCACATTATTATTTCTTGAAATTTCCTGGGAACTCTTGGCATGTCTGTCAGACAAACCGTATGCAGACACATGGACGCATATAGGGAGCATTCCTAAGAAAGAACACTGCGTATGTAATGAAACGTGCAAACCAAAGGCTCGTAAATTGGGATTCACTTATGGGGCGAGGGGATATTGACGCTTACGAAAACTCACCGTCAAGAAACGGCTCCCAGAGGTAGGTCCGTCCCATGAATTTCTTTCCATTGAAGGTTTCGCACTGTGCTCTTCGGAAATCCATCGATCCAGGCGGGCACAGCTGGGGGCAAAAAGCATATAGATAATTAACACTGCTGGTCCTGGGTCTAATTTATAAAATATACTATTTATTTTCCTTAAATACTTCCATGATGACTTTCAATTTCTGTTGATCAAACATTGGATTGAATTGTAAAAAATGTCAACAGAATATCAGAACTTTAATTGTTTCTTGCATCCTGTTGTGTATTTAATCAATATTAGAGTCAATTTTACCGACCACACAACATATTTTTATTATTATTACACTACATGTTTCGACCTCAAGTGGTCATCCTCAGGTGTACGAACACAGTTGTATAACTACACGCAATCACATTCGTCTTTTTTACTTATTCCATCCTGTATCTTATTCAGCCCCACGCTCAATAATATATCAAGGTTCCTCTCACAAAACACAAGTTAAAATATTATTCTAAATGTCAACGGTTAAAATTAAAATTTAAAATTTTCGTAAATCGAATTTCAATTCTGATCACTAGTTATGCTTTCATTTTCACTTGTTATTCAGTAACCATCATAACAAGGACCGTAACAGATCCAGTAACATCAGAGAACGCGTTAGAACAGCGAGACCTCCAAAAAGTGAAAAATGCAATCAATATAATANTAACTACACCACATTCGTCTTTTTTACTTATTCCATCCTGTATCTTATTCAGCCCCACGCTCAATAATATATCAAGGTTCCTCTCACAAAACACAAGTTAAAATATTATTCTAAATGTCAACGGTTAAAATTAAAATTTAAAATTTTCGTAAATCGAATTTCAATTCTGATCACTAGTTATGCTTTCATTTTCACTTGTTATTCAGTAACCATCATAACAAGGACCGTAACAGATCCAGTAACATCAGAGAACGCGTTAGAACAGCGAGACCTCCAAAAAGTGAAAAATGCAATCAATATAATATAATTGAACTTTAATTCATGAACTTTTAACCAATAATATAATTAAAACTAGTTAAAGTGAACTTGACGCAGTGTTGAGCGTAAGTAGGAAGTGACTGAATAACAAGTGAAAGTGAAAGCATAACTAGTGATCTGAATTGAAATTCGATTCACAAATTTTAACTTTTGACATTTAGAATAATATTTTAACTTGTGTTTTGTGAGAGGAACTTGATATATTATTGAGCGTGGGGCTGAATAAGACACAGGATCGAATAAGTGAGAAGACGAATGTGATTGCGTGTAATTATACAACTGTGTTCGTACACCTGAGGATGACCTCTTGAGGTCGAAACATGTAGTGTAATAATAATAATAAAAACATGTTGTGTTGTCGGTAAAATTAACTCTAATATTGATAGAATATCAGAAGATATTTTTCTGCTTCAAAAATTATGAAATGCTTAGCTTATTCAGGGGTGAAAAATTTTACGTTTATTAATGCTGCATTATGTTATAGCATGGATAGGACGAAAAGTTTGTCTTCAGTGCAGGAGGACAGTTTGGATACTGTTGCGACATTCATCACCGTGTTCCAGGAATCGTTTCACTATGAAGCATCATTTCGATAACATTATTATTAACCACCGGTCAGGTAGTAGAACCCGAAGGTTCAGCAGTGCTAATACCATTAGACAAAATCGTAGTCAGTTCCGTCCAATACCAAGACGCAATCTAATTCCTTAAGAGAAGTCTCAATTTTCTACTACCATTTTACTCTCGGATTTCAAAGTAACGATCTTCTGGGAGATTTCCTTGCCTATTTCTCCGTGTTCTTTACATGTAGTTCACTACATCACGTCGCCTACAGCATAATGATGCCACCAGAACACACACGTAAAACACCATACAGACCGCCCACCGCACAAGGCATTTACACACAAACGGTAAAGAAATATGAAGGGTCCATCTAAACAAACAACAAAATTTTAAATGAATTGAAACATATACTGTTTGCTACTTGTTTTAAACATGCCAATGTTATAAACCATTTTAAAACAACATGTACATATCATACTTGAGAATTATTTTCTTTCAAGTGTTTGCCCCCTTCTGATAACTGCCGACACCGCCGAAACATCTAAAAGTTTTATTCGTATTAAAAATTGTTGCACTTGATGGAACTTATTCTTTATTCATGTGTTACAAAGTGAAACGGTTCAAGTAAATGTGCTCTGCTGGAAGACTCGCACATAGCTCTAGAAGCCGTGCCTACCGTACACTTTGGCAAGTGTACAGGTTATTGTAAATTTCATATCAACGGATATTTTCTGTGAGGTCTGCAGAAGGAAACAAAACAGCTACTCGTGTGTGTATAGAGTGAATCTTAATTACATATGTTAAATACAATTACCGTCTTCTACAATTTAAGCAATGCCGGTCACAGTAGCCGCTCGGTCTACAAGTAAGGCAAGAACTGCCTTCGCTCGCTCGAACGTTGGGATCGTGGGTTCGAATCCTACTTAAGACATAGATGTTTGGTGTGTGTGTGCGTTTATTCTGCGTTTGTGCTGTCCTGTGTTTAGGTAGTGGTCTTGCGACTAGCTAATCACTCATCCAAGGGATCCTACTGTCTGTGAAAAATTACTGCGGAACTGAATAAGAGGGAAGGGCCCTAAATGGGCTGGAAGAGCCACTGGAAAAGAATAATTTAAGCAAGCAGAAAGTTTCATATAGATGCATGGTCGCGCAACGGCTTCGTTAGCGAGATAGCAACTACGAGGCAACACAGCGGAATGGATGAAGCGTACGAAGCCATTATTGTTGATGTTTTGGTGTTGTGATCTGCATTACGGGAGATAAGTTACATACCGAAGAATGGCGCAGAATGCTGAGTATTCATTCAACAGACCGACAGATACAGTATTACTGTAGAGGGAAACAGGGAACAAGGCATCCGCAACGGCGCCATCCAGAGCGCAGGGCTCTCCTATTTACCGTGGCTGCTGGATGACGTACCATCACCATCGCGGCAGACAATGTGGGCACTGCATGACGGGGCTTCTGCCCCTTCTTCTTGCGCTGCCGTGCGGCATTTAGACAGCCACTATCTTCGTCGATGGGTTCGACCAAATGGGCCTGTTGTGTGGCCTTCGCGGATCGCGCGATCTCACTCTTGCGAGCTTCAACTTGTGGGGCCATTTGGACAGCTTCTTTTACGAGCAACGTTCTAACATGCGGAACGAACAGAATGCTAATGAAACCTCTGCAATGACAATTTGCTACATGTCCCATGTCTTTCAGCGCACCAGGAATCACTGGCGCAACAGGGTTTTGTTATACAACTATCTACTGTACTTGTGGACCGTTTCAACGTCTTCTGCAAACCGTCAATAAATTTCCAGATGCCGTTTTGTTCACAGAAAATAAATTCCATACCTATAACGACGTTAAAGAGTTCCGTCTTTTGGAATATAACGGCGTGTAGTCTGTTGAAAGTTAAAGGATGTTGAGGAGAAACTTTTCGCCTCCGTCTTCAGGGTCGAAGAATAATTCTAGCAAGGAGCCAGTGCGGAAGCTTTCAAGATGGTTTCTCACTTGAATTATTGTTCTACCCCGACGATGGAGACAACACGTTCTTCCGAAATGTCAGTTGACTTTCAACGGACTACAAAGCATTATATCCTATAAGAGAACACCTAAACCACCTCTGTGAGAATCTCAAGTCCTGCAGGTACGTTTTTTGTGAACTATTCTTCTCGTGTTTCCTGTTGCAGTGTCTCGCTCACGAAGCGGATGGTCATTTCTGCTTTCCTTGAAGTGTAGAACACGTTGCTTATATTTCAGCTACGAAATGAAAACTCATCTTGTGTATATAATGCCCCTTTAATTTACCGTATTTACGCGTGTATAGGCCGTGTGCGTGTATAGGCCGCAGCATAATTTTCAGACAGAAATTATAGAAAAAATAATTTTCTTGGAATATTATTTCAGGAGTATTACACCCTGTATTATTAATTATGAATATAATTTTTTTAAAATGAAGTGTGATTTCGAATATTTCGAATATAAGCCGCGCCCCAGTTTTCCTCTTGAATTTTTGGCAAAAAATGTGCGGCCTATACAAGTACATGCGTAAATACGGTACTTATTCTCTAGAAATAAGAGGTCCATACAAACAAGTGATATTGCTTTATACATAGATAGGTAAGGCGCACAGGCTAAATGATGATTATCAGGGTAAAATCAAAATACTTGGAGAATATCTTCTGTTTAGTGCTGTACTCCTGTTCTATGCACTACAGATCCAACAAGGGCTGCCAGTGGATTGAACCCAGATCTCCGTGATAAGAAACTGACATCCAACAGTCTGAGATGTAGTAGCATTACATTTCAAGCGAATCAATTTCTTTACACAGGGAAATATTTTCATTCTCCGCATTTCATTCTAAGAATTATAATCACACCAATTGTTGACGTTCGAAAGGAGGTACGAACTTTTACTCCTTGCGCGAGAATCTATCTGATACGACCATGTACGGGTCATGCTCATAACTTAATATTCTTCACCAGCAAAGATTGTGATTACTTGGCGGACGTAACAGCCCAACGGAGACAGCTTAGCTTCTATTGGAAACGTCGCTGCAATGAGTATTTACTGCATTTCCTTGACCTTCCTGCTGCGCGGAACGGTCACGTGGCCTTGCTTCACAGGCGCTGAAGCAAATGCCCGAGAGGCCAGCCGAATTTAGTTCTTTCGGTTGTCATATTACCCGGGCGTGTTATTACCATTGGCATATTTAGAGCTGCAATACGTACAGCGGTCTATCTAATCGGTTGGGTAGTGAGTGGAAAGAAACGGAAATGCGAATCCTCGACTTCCTAAGACACAAGTCAAATGAGTTTCTAGAGCACCATTACCAGGTTACATATGCGTAGCTCACAGATGCCTAAACCTAACTCCTTCGAGCTGATTCCTTCTTGAGAAGCAGACAGTTGTGTAGCTACTGAAGAACTTCCCAACATTCTCTGGTACCCGAAGGTTCATCGTGTTCACAAGATCTCTTCACTGGTTCCTATCCTGACCCAGATCAATCCGGTCCATACCATCCAACCTTACCTATCTAAGACCCATTCAATATTATCCACCCACCTACGCCTTGGTCTTCTTAGTGGTGTCTTTTTTTCCGGCTTTCCCACCAATATCCTATATACTTTCCTCTCCTCCTTATTCGTACTACATGCCCTGCCCATCTCACCCTCCTTGACTTTATCGTTATAATTATACTTGGCGAAGCGTACAAGTTATGAATCTCCTCATTATGCAGTTTCCTCCAACCTTCTCTCACCTCATCTTCCTTCAGTCCAAATACGAGTTCTGACGATAAAGTTAGCGAACTCGCCACCGTGTGCTTGCCGTGGCAGCAGTGGACAGAAATCTCAGTATGGTTTGATGAAGTTGCATATCAGCATTTCACAGCTTTGTTGCTGTTGATCTATGGCAATCTCTTTCTGAGTGCCGTCTATTATTGTCTGAGTGTGTTTTTGAGTGCCGTCGTGAGAATGTCGGAGCTTGAATTAGAGCACTGTTTGTGAGGAAGATTTTAGCTGGTAAACAAATGACTGTGCTAGGACACCATCCATATTCACCGGATCTAGCACCCAGTGACTTTCTTCTCTTCCTGAAGATAAAGGAAATGTTGAAAAAGAAGGCATTTTGATGACATTGATGACATCAGGAGTAATACGACGGCAGCCCTAAAGGCCATTCCACAAAACCAAATGCAAAATTGTTCTGAAGGGTGAACTAGGCGCTGGCATCGATACATAGCTTCCAAAAGGGAGTTCTGAAGGCGAACACAGTGATATTCAGCAATGAGGTATGTAGCACTTTACCGCGATGAGTTCACGAACTTCATTGTCAGACCATGACCTGTTCTGAAACATCCTCAGTCTATGTTCCTCCCTTGATGTCAGAGGAAAAGTGTCACACCTATATAGAACCACAGGCAAAGTTATAGTTTTGCACAGCTTAATTTGTATGCTTTTAGAAAGCAGACGGGACGACGTAAGGTTCTGGACTGAAGAGTAGCAAGCATTACCCGAATTTTATCGCCTATTAATTTCCATCCGAATCAAATTTTGATTTGTTACTGTCATTTTCAGACATTTGAACTGTGCCACACTGTCAAAGCATTTGTTAGCTATCTTTATGTCTTGATTTTGCCCTGCATTTTGGTGACGAGGTAGCAACATGTACTTAGTTTTCTGTGTGTTTACTTCTAGACAAGCCTCCTTACTAACGTCAGTTAGAACTTCTGTAAATTTATCTATGGCATTTATGTTATTTTCCAACATCATCAACATAGACCAGCAGCTCTCGTGAATCAATTCATTTCCTAACGGCATATTCTAAAGGGAAGTTGAAAAGCAGTGGCGCTAAAGCATCTCCTTCGTTTAGACCATTTCGAGCATGAAACGTATGAGACAAATGTTTGCCTGTAAAGGCCTTAGCGTTGCTTTAATTTAAATATATTTTAATACCCCCTCGTATTGAATATTGTACAATACTACCCTCCTAACTGAATCATGGGCGTTTACAAATCCTTAAAGATGAAATATATATACATATACAAAGTTGTCGGTAAGAAAATATAAAACTCCGGATCTTAGTAATATTGTATTTCAGCGTCATATTGTGTGTGAACTATTTATCATGTGTTCCGTTGACACAATTCCTGTATAAATTTGATAAACTTATTCTGTTTTCACTTTACAACATGTTTCGGCCATTTCTGGCCATCATCATGTACGTTATTCTACATAAATGCTCTACTTTCTCTGCTACTATTCCCCTGCATTGGCCAATGTTTACAGGTTTAGAGGAAATGTCATATATGTCAATCACAGTATTAATACCAGCTGCACTCATGTGCAAGGGTACTTTAATAGCGAGGGTACATATTTTGTAGGATTTGAGGCTTTCACAGCGGTGACTATGAAGAAAGCAGTCTTCTGGGATTTGGCACCGTGTATATGTGGTGTTAACCGACGTTTCGGAGGAACGTATCGCCTCCATCTTCAGGGTAGAAGAAAAAATACAAGAAATCTGCAAGCGAAGAGACCGTGAGAACCGGTAAAAGCAGACTGTGTCTGCTTACACATAAATGCAATCTGTAAACTTCTTCACTAGATCCAATTCTGGAACACAGCCTGTAGAGGCAATAAACTTTTCCTCTTCTCTGTAGCAAGCAGATCAGCCCTGGGGCCCACCCAGGCTCATATTCAGGAGGTACCGGGGGCCGTTTCCCTGGGGATAAAGCGGCCGTTGCATGGAGCTGTGTCCAGTACCGAGGTCAAGAATGGTGGAGCTATACGTCCATTCCCCAACATGCCTTCATGGATTGGCGCTTAATAATTTAAGTACGGGTATAATTTTGCCTTTACCTTTTACCGTACAAATCACATTAAGGGCCACACTGCATGTTCATAAGCATCCCACGTGTGTTTCGTTAAGAGTACAAACCATATAAAATCAAGATACAAATAAAAGCTCTTAATCTTAATGAACTTCTTCTGTACGGCTAACGTCTTAGAGAAAATGAATTAAGCATGAGCTGCATCTGAGAATCATGACAAATACGGGTTGCACAGACAGTAAGACACGATAATATTGTTGGTGAAGGGCTCAGGCTGGACGGCCAGGGTTTAATTCCCGGTAAAGACCACAGTACCAATATGGCTTCAAGTCAAACTCGTCCTCTTATCCCTGCATCTACTGCAGGGGCCAAGAACAGTGGAACGGTTCCGCACGCGTCTTCATGGCTTGGTGCTTAACTAACTAAGCAGAGGGACAACTTTACCGTTTTACATTTTACAGTACAGCGAAACCGCACTATGGAACATAGGCAATGCGTTAAGTCCTAGATTACTTTCAACAGAAGTCGAGGAAACAACGATTATAGATCCAAAGCGAGATACATCGATATGAGAAGCGCCGAGTTTGTTGACACTACACGTTTTAGTGATTCCTGCTGCATTTGTATACATGGGGGAAATACAAGCACCTAAGAACTGCGATATGAAGATAGGTCAGTGGCACAAGATGCAAGGCCAGCTGTTGCCTTTAAACAAGCCACTCGGCGCCAAAAGGGTTAAACCTGAACGTGATTAAGACACGAGATTGGTTGAGTATTTGTGGGTTTATTTAATGACGCTTTTCCAATTTCACTATTTGCACGGTGTCGAAAATATTAAGAGAATTACTACCGAGCACTTTCTAGTAATATTATTACATTCACAGGATGTGATGAGAAGGGCACCTAGCACGCAGGAGAAAAGGAACCACTCATATTCTGGTTCAACCTTAACGAAATATACATTACGGGAAAAAACTGGGCATAAATGAGAGAATATATTAAAATTAACCTAAGTGGAACCATTCATGAAGATATGAAGTTCACCGAACTGGCACAAGATGACATCCAATGTACAAGTAGTTTCCAAAATGTTACGAAGAACCAATTTCTTTATTACAAGTGTAGGTCTAGTCTTTGTAATATTTTGCTTACATCTTATAGCAGCCAATAAATAAAAAAAAGTGTAGGTAAAAACGCATACAACCCTGAGTACTGTGTAAGTATAAACTGACAGGTGCTGTTTCTACTCCATTCTGCGCATCGCGCGCACCTTACCTGGTCGTTGCAGATGTGAAAGCGTTTGTAGACGCCAACACATTGACTCTCCATGTGCGGGGTGTTGCTCCCAGAACTGTAGACTGCATTTTCCCCCGCATCAATGACAACTCGGCGCCTTCGCATACCTTCCAACCTGCAAAAGTTCACACTTCAGTCAGTTGTCCTTTCTCCAGCATCTGAATATACTGGAAAGCTCTGACAGATAGGTTGGGCACTGTCAGTACCTTCTACGGACTAGGAAACCCTACTTCCGTTTTTAGGTTGTCCTTTTACTAACAGCTTTTTTTATTTTTAATAGCAAAGGTTGGGACGTTTTCAATACTAGACTTGCATTATATTGGTTGTGTTTATTAGTGAAATTATAGTTCATGGCCTAGGAGACCGCGGTTCGACTACTGGATTTTTTCTGTGTCATTTCTTTCAGACTGCCTCTGCGGCGCAAGCAGTCTCCTGACCAGTGGTTACCGAGTGCTCTTTCGCGGGACAAAGCGGAAGGAGCTTGACACTGAAAACGCGCCTCAGACTGCAGCCGATTTTATGAATGCCTGAACCTTCACTTCTGCTCCCCCTCGACGCCGTTACGTGGTGCTGTATCGGTACTGCTGTACTGAGTCTGGGCTGAGAGGCCCTATATATATTTTATATACATTTATTAACATGTTTAATATGTAAAATGTAAATATCCTTTACATTATGACAAATGAATTACTACTGCAAACAATGACTCTGACAAAAGACAGACCCGTCCTCTCGTCGGAGAGTGCGCCCCATAAAAACAAGACCGACTCTGTCAAACAGTAATAAATATCTGGTCATAAGCCCCAGATGGGGTTCGACACCAAGAATGACTGACTGCCTGACCGTCAGTCGCAATGTGACTTTGACTTGACTAGAATGAGAACTGAAAGTTCCCGGATGTGGCAGTTTGCAGAATAATTGAGAAGAAATGGCAGTAAAGGAGTTAGGCTGTGCAAAGAAAACTTCATAGTGTTCTGCATTTACAGTGGATTGTTATGAATCCGTTGCCAGGACTCGATTAGTGAATACTGAGAATCCTAGTGCGTGTGCACCAGTGAACTGTGAAATGTACATCAGCAATAACGCTGTATCACTTCTAGTTTCGAGTCAGTTTATAAGGTGTCAATAAATCCAATCATCCAATTCAAAACCCGGCTATAAGTCACGCTCACGCCCCTACACGTGCCAGTATGGAAACACACTATAAACATTCCTATAAATTATGCATGAGATACTTAGAAGCCAACAATTACAAACATGAAATGGGTGCGTGATTTTGAGGTTACAGCTTATAAATTTAACATAGTAAGGACATGATATAAATCCTTCCCAAACATATAATAATTCAATTCGTGTTTATTTATGTGCAAACTTAACAGCACAGTGGCCAATTTCAAAGTTAGCACGAGTACATAGAAATACACAAAAATTAAAGAGCAAAATAAAAAATATGACAGTCTATACAATATCAATAAATTAGTAACAATTCCAAGAAAAGAAAAGAAAAACAAAACAAAAAAAAATAGCCTTAACATGTGAGAAAAATAAAATAAGTACATTTCGAATGGTTATTCCATTATGTGATGAGAAAGGACAATATACATACATACACACATAGAAGTTAATAATAATAATAACCCAATTAATTCTTATTTATTCGTGTGGCAGCTCAACATCCTAATTTAAATCAATTCAATTCATGTTTAATTACATACAACTTAACAACACAGAGGCCAATTAAAATGTTAGAATGAGTACATAGAATTATATAAACATAATTAAAAAACAAATACAAAATTTGGTTGTTACATAATGACAATAGATTAATAATAATGCCAAGAAAAATAAAGTTAACGTTAACAGGAGAGAACAACAAAATAAGACCACATACACAGAAGTAATATTAAGAGTATCATTAACAAATATTATTAACAATTTTAGGTTCAGTGTCACTGACAGAAACTGTTCCGATTGCAAATATGTCGAGATCTTTACCCACCGCGTTGGCAGCATAGGCGCACCGAGCAGGACAGTGTTTATTAGAGGGACAAACACCAAACAACAATAATAATAATAATAATAATAACAATAACAACAACATTAATTCAATTTCAATTCGTGTTTATTTACGTGCAAACTTAACAGTACAGTGGCCAATTACAACGTTAGCACGAGTACACAGAAATACACAATAATAATAATAACAACAATAACTCCCTGCAGCGAGTTTGCAATTGTAACCATTATTACAATGATTACAATTGTAATCATTGTAAGAGTTCTCATCCCAGTAAAACTGAGACCCTTGACTTAATAATGTTGTGTCTACAGATTACAAACTGACAGAGCCTATCTGTAATTTCAACAACAGAAAACTGGTAGGAATGGAAGCCTGTGCAATAGGAAAGCAGGGTTTATGAGTTGTGTTTTAATGCTCCCATCTTTGTGGGAAAGCTATCCGGGTGGAACAGATAATAAGTTAGGCAGTGAATCTGTTAAACGCTGCACGCTTTACAGTTGCTGTATCTTCATACAGTCCTACAGCAGCAAGTGTAAATAGCACTTCTTCAGTCTCCACAACAATCAAGCAATTAATAAGACAAGTTTATATACCCTATTCTAATATATGTATAATTGAGTCAATGGTTTCGTGGACTTTCACTCAGCAGTAGGCTGAGGAAGATATTAAGCCTCTGGCATGCTTCCTGAATGAGTAATCATTTCTATTCTCAAGACTTCTCCCTCCCTTGCAGAGCATTCACCATAGAACTCGTGCCTAGGAGGACTACCGTCAGGGACGGCCGACTCTGCTTAAACAAGCGTAGGAACATAAACTACTCGTACAGTTTCGAGGATATGCATGCTTATTTTTCAGATGTATTCTTCTGTTTCTATATCCTTCGTTTGTCTAGTCCGTAATATATGTTATGCTGTGGTACGGTACTGTACATACAGGCCTTGTGTTACCTGGTTACTTTCAACAGTGGATAATGGAGACATCAGGAGCCTGAATAGCGACTGGCTACTGGCTGGATAACCGAGAGGTCGGAGTTCGAGTCCCGGTGGAGTTAAGTATTTTCGCTTCTCCATATCGTCCACCCAAACGCCTATAAAATGGGACCGGGAGTTCTTTCCCGGGCGTAAAGCGACAGGGTCGTGAAGCTAACGACTTTCCTCCAGCTAGTTTCGAGGTTAGTTAGTTAGTTAGTTATTAGAGAGGGTGGGTTTCCCCATGCACTTAGACCTGTAGCGGTCATTGTGCTTCCCTCTATGATTTCTACCAGCCTCTATATCCTACCGGTATTGGTGCTTACCATCAGTCCCGCCCAGCCAGCGAGACCGGCTCTACTGGCTGAGAAGTATCTATAATGCTTCCCCCATCTACCGGAGGTATTAGTGACTGCTGTTGGGCGGCAAACGTCCGCAATTTTGGCTCAGTGACCTCCTTTGGAGGTATGAGGTTCTTTTACATGCCGTAAAGCTACGACACGGGACTCACGGCTTAAAGTCCCTCCCGGAGGACTTGTTCTCTGAATTTTTCCGCCCTTAAAAATTCGACGACCTCCGCTGGGTATTTTAACCCGCGTACTACGAGTCATGAGGTGGGATAATTTCGAGGTTAAGAAAACGTGGATCAATACATCCACTCCTCCATACGCCTTCATGGCGTAGTGCTAAATTAGTTAAGCACAGGGACAATTGAGACATCTGTGCAAAACTAATGAAAATAAATATGGAACCCATACTTAACTTCGTAAAAAAAGTTAAAGCTACAGCTGTAACAGACCGTGAAGGCCCATAGGGCTGTGAGACGTCGAGGTTCTCACATTTTCCAGACAGTGGGCCCACAGATGGCGGTGAGGTTGTCAGTCTCACGCGCCTGCTGCCGTTTACCCCGCAGGAAGATTCCTGGCACTTCAATTCTGTCGAAGACTGAGTCAAACCCAGAGCCATAGTCCGGCAGGATGCTTTAGAACAACTGATAATTTCAATTGGAACTCGAACCCGTGACCTTCCGACAGTGCCTCAACCAATCATGGAGAATGTATACCACTGTAAAAGTAAAGTAAAAAATAAAGCTATCCCTGTAACAGGCCGTGAAGGCCCCTCAGTAATTGAGATATGTCACTTCGCAGACTCACAAATTACAACTTCTGATCCTGTCATCCAATATAAGACATTTTTTCTAGAAGCTAAAAGAACCATAACCCATTTCAAGTTCCCTGTCTGGATTAAGCAGATGTTTGCAGAAATCACTTCTGGACTAGTGCTGCTCTATGTCGATCATGATTTTAGTTCTTATGGAAATCCATGTCGCTGCTTTTTAATCTGTTTAAATTATTAATTAATAATTCAATTTTAATTTTTAATTTTAACGCGGTAGCGTAGTGGTTGAAAGGCTATGGTACAAGACGGAAGGTCGCGGGTTCAAATCCCGATGAGGTCATTGGATTTTTTCAGTTGACCTAATCCTTCCAGCCGCACTAGGCCCTGGGGTTTACTCAGCATCTAACAGAAATGATTTTTTTTCCTTGGCACTACAGCCCCAGTGGGCCTAGGCCTACCTCCATGAACTTCTCCGTTCATTTCGGTTTTTCTAGATCTTACACATTCGGCAGGACTCCTTGGGCGGGTCATCAGCTCGTCGCAAGGCCTCTACCTGTACACAAACACAGAAAAACGCACACACACAAACTAAACATCCATGCCCTGAGTGGGATTCGAACCCTCAATCCCGGTTTCCAAGCGAGCGAAGACAGTACATGCCTTAGACCGCTCGGCTACCGTGACCGGCTAACAGAAATGTTTACCAGGAATTAATTAAATAATTTTCCTGGGGAGTAAAGCGCGGCCCACGCTTAAGACTGACAACCTCACCGCCATCTTTAAGCCTACTGTCTAGATAATGTGGGACCCTCAACGTCTCACAACCCTATGGGCCTTCACGGCCTGTTGTAGGGATAGCTTTACTTTATACTTTATTAATGGAGATTTAAAAATATATCCTTCAATAATATTGGCTGATGTCAGAGGTTTATAAAATATAAGTCAAACATTCACACAAACATGACAGAAATTTGAGTGATGTATTTGTGACCCAAATGGCAACGCTGC